ATATTATACGTGTTGTACCGAGTGAATCGACTGAAAGGGAACATAGTTAGATAAGTGCTTCTAAATATTTCACAAAACATCATCACAGAACTATTGAAACCCTGCAATCCTACCAGAGCACTGAGGTCTACAAACCAGCTGCTCTCAGACATTCTTAGATCCAGGCTTAAAAGCAGAAGCAACAGAGGCTTTTCAGTAGCAGCTCCTAATATTTGGAACAATTTACCTTTATACATAAGAGCTGCCCAGACTCTCAACCATTTCAAAACACTTTTTAAAACCTACATAATAACAGTAATGAGGGCAAAAGATTTTCTTAGAAACATTTGAAAGATTTCTTATTGAGTCAGTTCTTGATTTTCTGGCTTGATAGTCTTATTTTTGCATTTTATTTTTGATCTTATATTGTTATTTGTATGATGTATGTATTTAGCAGGATTACCACCTGTAAAGCAAATTGCCTTCAACACAGCAACGTGACAAAGAAATAATTCCAGAGGTCCGTCAACACACTCACATGTCGTGCTTGGTGCCATCTAGGGGTAAATGTCAGAAATACAATTAAAACTGAGGTCAACTAGACACAAATGAGTTCTGTCATTTATTAATCTAGAAGATTCCAGTTTCTGACTTTTACACTGGGAGTCTCACTCTAAAAGAGTCTTCATCAATGACATAATGGAGTTTATTCTGTATGCACATACTGGGCTTGCCTGGCTAATGGCTGTTTGCCTTAGGACATTTATGAGGCAGAAAGAAGGGAGTGGATAAAGGGGAAAGAGGGAGGGATGGAGAGAGAGTTGCACTGAAAGGAGTCCTGGCTGGTGCTTGTGCTGCTGTACTGCACAAGCAGCTGATCTCTGCACATAGATGTCTGACAGTAACATGTTCAACAGGGACTCGAATCTTGTGAAAGATGAGAATCTGAGCAGATAGGAGGACGGAGACACTCAAGAGTGAGAAGTCTGACCTGGTTTGGGGATGAACAGCTGCCAAGTGTTGGGTAAGAACATGGATTAAATGTCTCTGTCTACTGGTTTATTATCACAAGACGTTGTTCGTTCAGAATGTTTATAAAAGTGATGAAAACTTTCTGCTCAAAACTGAGTACTTCTACCCACACGTGTTTTCTAAGCTTGTATAGTCAGATTGCATTGCAGTGCAATAATGCAATGAAAAGAAGTTACATGTCTAAAATGTCTGGTGTTTGTTTCACATGCATCTATTTCTGACATCAGAAACACTTTAGTAGCTGTCGGTCAAAGTGGATGAAAACCTTTATTTTCAGTAAAGGACTTTTTTTTTTTTAGTGCAAAGTCTGCCTCGCTCTACATGTTTACAAGAAGATCAAATGAATGAAAAGAGCTTTTTTAGATCTTCATAGTAAATAAACATCTCTTAGGGAGCGCTATGCAGCAGGAGCTTTTAAATAACGCATATTACTAATGCGGCTTAGAAGGACTGCGTTTATCTGTGTTTGGATGTGTTTGCATGCACAACACAGCTGTGTGTGTAAACAGTTGTCCACTTCTTTAAAGACAGCATTTTTACTAATGCTGACATCATTGCTGCAGACTGGAGATGGCGGGCGGGGTTTCTCTCTCCCAGGACCTCACATTGGCTCTGTGGCCAGTTCATTACCCTCAAAATCAAAAACATACTACTCTTACAAGAAGGAGGAGAGCAGCCTGCGTGTATGTGTGGTTTCTCCTTCCTGTTTAGCTCATCATGTAGTAGGCACCTAATTTGTCTAATGTGCTTGCATGGTGCATTGACAGACAAACCAAATGTGTAAAGGCAAAGAAAAACATGCCGTAATAAATTTTTTGAAAAGGCAGACAAGGGGATTATCCTTCTTTGTAGACCTGACACATATGTTCCAACGCCCCCGCTGACCAGAGACAAGCAGCAGATGCAAAACTCACATTCTCACGCCCACATGGGCAAATCTGTTTGTGTGTGTGTAATAATCAAATCTGCGAATCCAAAAGATTTTCACACAGCGGAAGACATTTTCGGTATGTTTCCATATGATTTCTTTGCTGTGGAATGTTTGATGTTGAACATCAGGATGCAGAATCACCATTAAGTGTTTTTGCTTTTAATGCCTGCTTTACGTTCTGTTACAGAAATAGAGGTGTGATCATGTCTCCTTCTTTTCTCTCTTACATGTATGTATAACGCCATTGCTTCATGATCGCGTTCCCCTGACAGAAATTGTTCTGGGTGTTATGTCATGGCTCGGGAATGTTTTGGCACAAAAAGAGACAAGACTTGGAGCAGACACAAAGATTTCGCTTGAAGTCTATTACACGCCAATCTGTGGCAGGATGAGAACATCGGCGTGTGAAAAGGAATCAGAAGCAATTGCTTCTCATTACAAAAATCACATCTGGCCTCATGCTGCATTTGATCACAAGTTTGATTCACTGATATGCAGTTTCTCTGTCTGACACCCTGACAAGAACGTTTTGAGTGTTTAATGGCACTGATCAATATAATAGGACCGCTAAGTGTCTGGACTCACTGATTCATTATTGTTCGTTATCTGCCTCCTTTGCCCAAACATCTGCAAACACAAAACTAACTTGAGAGTTGCTCGGAACTTTGTGAGTTAACGTGGAGACACAAACATCTATATTAATGTTCTCTTTTGGCTGTATATACAGGTTTGAAGATGTGGACCTTGATGGGATTTGTCTGTCTGTGGCCCTGTGTCTCGGGAGAGTTGTTTGACACCAAGCTCAAAGCCCCACGACTGATCTGCAGTGTTCCTGGGTCACCCGGACTGCCTGGCAAACCAGGTCCCAGCGGGCCCCCGGGAGCAGATGGGAATGTGGGTATCCCAGGAAGAGATGGCAGAGATGGCAGGAAGGGTGAAAAAGGAGAAAAGGGTGACACAGGTATAATATGAAACAGATACAGTATTACTTTATGTCTGCTGATAAAGAAATACTGCCAGTGTGTGCGTGAAGTGAAAAGCTGGCGCATAGAGAAGATAAAATGATGTGTGTGAAAGTTATTAAATGATCTCTCCTACAGGACTGGAGGCTTAACAATAAAGGGGAAGTCAATGTAAACACACATCAGGTCTCCAACTCCCTCAATCTGATCATTACAGACAGCACTGTGTGTGAAATGCCAACATTTATTGTAATAAAAAACAAGAAAAAGGTGCACCTTTGCCATAAAGTGTATCAAGTACAGTTACTGCCACAGGTTCTGAGGACCATTTTAGGGAGCTAGCTTATGATTGAGAAAGAAAAATGCACACATGCAATACATTTAATTAGTGCTTGTAATGTGTCTGTCCTTAGAATGGTGGTTTATGTCGCTCAGACTCATTTTCGAATTAGCTTTATAGTTTTTAAACTAGCTTGAGATGGCAAATCCTGGGTGTAAACAGTTTGATTATTTTAAAGCAGATGCTGCATGTGTTGCAAAAATCTTCCATAATGTTATTACAAAATATTTGGAAGGGCTGTACCTGTTATCCTCATCCAACAGAAATAGTATCCTAATATCAGCCTGTGAAGTCTGAAATGCCATAAATCTGTCAGGGATAAATAAACGTCATTCACCTGTGTTTTCCATTATGCCTGGAAACAGGAATTCACTTTCAACTGAACATGGAGCCACAAAGTTGACAATGACTACCCATCCTTAAAGGCCAAAGGTAAATCTGTGCTAGATGAAGAGGATAGAAGTAGCTTTGAGTGGATGAGAAAGACAGATTTGTAAAAGGATTTTCTTTAGTGAAAAGTTCTGGTGTTTGTTCTCCTTACTGTGCTGTTTCAGACATCGTTCTTTTAGTTTCGCCTCCATTACAGTGAATTCTAAATTAAACAGTCACTACATGATCAAAGACACAGAACTATTGAAACCCTGCAATCCTGCAATCTTTAGCTGTAATTCAAGAGGCAAAGTGATTGTTTTGCATTGACTATTCATTTTTAAACACACTTCTCATTGTCAGAGGCTCAAAAGTAATTGCACAAACTAACATAATTTTAAAAAAATTCAAATGTAAGGATTGTTTTTAATACTTATAAAGTCATGCCTTAAGTCTAGAACTCACGTCCTCGCACACATCAGATAGCATAGCATAGCATCTTTATTTATACATCCAACAATGTTGACCAAAGTGCTACAAATATAAAACAGAGAGGAAACAGTTTAAATTACATATAAAATATCTTAAAATTAAAAATCATATAATTAATAAGAAACATATTAAGAGACATCAACAAGTCCTGCTGTGCTAAAAGCCAAGGTAAATAAATGTGTTTTAAGAGGTGATTTAAAAACAGATCAAGTAAAACTTGGCGATCATAGACCAGCAGGGAGTCGACATCATAACAAAATAAAAACATTAAAACAGAAACGTGGAGGAACAGGCGGCGAGCCATACACATCGGCGCCATCTTACCCAAGAGCACAAACCCTGCACAAGTTTACACAAAAAAGCTGTAAGGTACAAATGCAACACTTTGAATCATCTTCAGATATCATCTTTCCTTCATTTATCATGAACAAGTCTTCACTTCAACCACATATTGATTGTTTGACTGTGATGAAATTCAGAGGCATAACTGCTGCACTAACCATATTACCCTGGCATTCTTTGTTATTATTCCTGCCAAGAAGGTTATGTGATTGGATCGGGTTTTTTTCTTTCCCTCTATTTGGATTACAAAATTATGGATGGATTTGCACAAAACTTTTACCAGTGATGTGGTTTGGCTTCACCACTCGTAACTGATTAATACGTAGATCTGCATCCAGGAATTTGGAGCAAAGGACTTGCTGGTACTAGATCTGAATTTATTCACAAACACACAACAATTTGAAGTACGAAAAACTGTGTAACACGGTCTTGGTGTTCTCAACAAAATATCACAAACTAATCCTGATGTATCCTGGTTCATGCACGGTGTTAAGTAAATTCCTTGGTAGCAGTATGCAGCCTTGATAGACATATGCAATCTCCAGCTGCTTCTGTTAGAAAGCATCCTTGTGGGTTTAGGTGTGTGAATGTGTAGATATATTGCAGTAAACTTTAGGTTTTGCATCACAGTAACGCTAACAAATTTGCTTATACTCTATAAGCTGGGTATATCTGAACTTTCCCATGGTTTTCTACACGCAGATTAGCTTAAATTTCTATTTTTTACTTCTTCAGATTGTTCAGAAAGTACAGTTTTAGCATAGGAAAATCTTCCATAATGTTATTACAAAATATTTGGAAGGGCCGTACCTGTTAGCCTCATCCAACAGAAATATTATCCTAATATCAGCCTGTGAAGTCTGAAATGCCATAAATCTGTCAGGGATAAATAAACGTCATTCACCTGTGTTTTCCATTATGCCTGGAAACAGGAATTCACTTTCAACTGAACATGGAGCCACTTATTAAGAAAAGCCCTGCAGAAAAAAAACAATCACAATCACAATGTTGCCTGTCTCCAGGGTATTTACTGCGACAGTGGTGCTGACTGAATGCACCGACGGGTTAATCAAGCCAGTTTGAATGTCAAGTGGCTTTGTTCAAAGGTTGACTTAATCCCTGACAATGACTGGGGAGCTGTGTTTCTGGTTTAACAGTAGTAAAACTGAATCCTTCAATTAGAGACTGATGTTGCAAGCATTGTGTTTTGCTTTCAGGAGTGAAGGGCAGGGTAGGCCCGACAGGTAAACTTGGAGAACGAGGTAACCGCGGCCCTCCAGGCAAACGAGGCCCTACGGGAGAGAACGGAGATGGCGGCTTGCTTGGACCTCCAGGACCCGACGGGGAGAAAGGGGACAAGGGCAAACGAGGACCGCGGGGCACTGCGGGAACCTGCAAATGTGGCAGCCTCATGCCTAAATCTGCTTTCTCTGCGGGAATCACCAGCAGCTACCCTGCAGAGAAAACCCCCATTAAGTTCAACAAGATCCTCTTCGATGAAGGCGGACACTACAACCCACAGACGGGCAAGTTCATCTGTGCATACCCAGGCATTTATTATTTCTCCTATGACATTACACTGGCCAACAAACACCTGGCTATCGGTCTGGTGCAGAATGGTCAGTATCGCATCAAAACTTTTGATGCCAATACAGGAAACCATGACGTGGCATCTGGGTCCACCGTCATGTACCTGAATCCAGAAGACGAGGTGTGGATGGAAATCTTCTACCATGACCAGAACGGTTTATTTGCAGATGCTGGCTGGGCTGACAGCCTCTTCTCTGGCTTCCTTATCTATGCAGACAGCAACTACTTTGACACACTAGCAGATGACTACGCATAGAGCCTGAAAAACTCAAGAGAGAAAACCACAAGCTCCTATTCACTGTCACACACACACACATATAAAGACTATATTTTTATACCAATATTTGTATTGCTAGTTATATTATTAGAATGGAGACTTATCTATTGTTTTAAAAGTATATTATTTGATAAAGTCTTTATATGTTCATGATTTAATTGGAATCAAATAAACATTGTTGAAATGTAATAATGGTTTACATGTTTCCATTTGCAAAAAGAAGTAAAACTGAAACATGTGTGAGACAAAGTTATTGGACAATAGAAAGCTGAAAAGTGAAAACAGGCCAGCCATGTGTTTGTTATTGGTGATATTTCCAAAAACAACAGCTGCAGAGGAGAACTTCCTCCTTTGCTTTATTTAGTGCAAGAAATATTAACACAAAAAAAAACATAATATGAAACGTAGAGACCATTCTGACGTGGTGGAAATGATGGTGCAATCCTGGCTACCTCAGATAGCAACAAAAACCAACTAAAACTATATCCTGGCCCCTAAAGCCAAACAAAAAAAGAAGAAACAATCATGTGAACAAATAAATAAGATACTGAAATAAAAAAAAATCAAAGATAAAGTTGTGTACCAGAGTTTGTATTGGTTTTTGGTTTTTTTTGTTTTTTTACTTAGGCTAGCTGAAAATATGAACAAAGCGTAAGATCAGCGAGATGGTCGTCAACTTCAGAAGAAAAAGGGCAGCAACTGCCCGATGGCTATCCTGGGATGGGATGTTGGAGGAGTGACAAATACCTGGGCGTCCACAGCAACAGCAGGCCAAACTGAAAGACCAAAACAGAGGCTGCATACAAGACATTGATGAGCAGGCTTTATTTCCTCAGCAAGCCGAGATCCCTTAGCATGTATAGCAAAATCTTAGAGCTTTAAGCCAATTGGTTGTGTCTGTGTGTGAAGTTTAGACAGCTTATGTGGAGGAGGAACTGTTATGCAAATTTCCTGCTGAATAATACTTTTGCTTGAATTATACTCCCTCTCCCTCTGTTTAAGAAAACTTTGTTCTGAATGGCTGTTCCTTGTAAACTGAGGAAGTCTAAACTTTTGGCTCACAGGAACTGCTTGTACACTGACCTTATTATTTGAAACTTTGACCATGTTTAATAGGAACATCTGGCTTTGTAACAGTATATATTTTGTCATGTGAAGATGTTTTCACAGGACTCTTCTGAAAAGCATACTCTATGATTCAGCAGCTATTGGATCATTCTTTAGCAGCAACAACTTGAAGCAATTATTTTCTCTGTTTTTATCAGTTTCTCATATTGGAGGAATTCTTCCCCACATTTCTTTACAATGTGACTTCAGTTGATTGAGGTTTGTACATGCACAGCTCTCCTAAGGTCATGCAACAGCATTTCAGTGGGGTTGATGCCTGGACTTTGACTGGGCCACTGGGCTAGCTTTAGCTCTTGATGGTATTACATTTGACTCTATAGTACAGAAGAATTCATGGTCCACTTGGTGACTACAGTGATCAGACAAGCCAAAGGGGTATGAGGTGTAGTGTTGATTTTTTTTGCCAAACATAGTGCTGTGTATTTTGACCAAACATCTTCACTTTGGGCTCATCTGTCCAACTAAAACTGTACCAAAAGTCTTGCCAACATGCAAACGTAAACCATGCTGCCAACTTTTTTTTAGAGAGTAGAGGTTTCTCCTGGCTTTCCCCTTCCACATAAAATCCATACTTGTTCTGTCATGGTCCTGAGTCTTCAACCCAGTTTTTGTGTTTGTTATGGTCTATGTTTATGTCTTTTGAGATCAGTGTTCCCTAATCTCTCAAACCATCTGGATGGAGTGGGTTTTTTCCATTTCTCTGAGAATTTCAAGGTCTGACCTTATGGTGAATTTGCTGGGATGTCCAGTCCTGAGTAGACCTGAGAAGCGTTGTGTTAACACACACCTGAATGCTCCAGACCAGCAAACTGCTAAAACATCTGCTTTAATAGAGGTGCTCAAACTTGCTGATGATCAATTAATCAAACTGTACTTAGTTTTTCATAGTAGAAATGCATAGACTCCTGTTCAGACGGCTGTAAGCTTTCTTTCTTTATTAGGAAGGGTAAGAAAATAAGCATCACAGGTCCACTTTAGCAGAAATTAAATTTACTGATATACAAATTCCCTAGTATTGTAATGACAATCATTATCGACCAGAAACCAAAAAAATGTTAAAAACCCAACAACACAATAAATAATAGTAAGAAAATCCCAACACAAAAATAAAGCAATTGAAAAAATCGACAATAACAAACTTAGTACAGTTTTGTTTTTCACACTACATAAGATAGTGTTATATTGTGATATTATTTGTTCATACATTTGACTTTTTTATGGCAAAATGTTTTTTAAAAAACCACTTAATTTCATTTTCTTTTACCTCTTTTTTAATTAGTTTCGCTGTACCCGGCATCCTAAATGTGCACGGTGCAAAACAAAAAAAACGGATCTGTACCTTCTCGGACTCCGTACTACGCGAGTTCACGCGTCACCAAGCTGTTTGATTGACAGTCAACTAGACGAATGAAATCCAAAACTGCTTATAAGTTTAGGTTGCATCGGTCGTCTTCCAAGGTAGGTCGAGAAGTAGTTTATACCGTTACCAGGCAGCGATAACGGAATTTGTTTGCTTAATGTTAAATATCTAATAATTGCGGGAAAGGTGCTTATGGATATCTAGCTGCAGTAAAGTAGTGTTGTTTTTTTTTTATTTCAAACCGTTTACTATTGTTGAGAAAAAGCATCGCAAATCTGGCTTCCAAAAGGTAACGCTTTTCTCTTTGCTCTCAACCATAAATAATATGCCTGTGAGATGCTAAGCTAAGCTAATTTGTTTCTGTTTTAAAACAATTTCATTTCTGTTTCTGTTGCAGTGACATACGAGAAAAACTGCATAAGAAACGACGGGCTTTCCAAGAAACTCTAGTTAAGAAGAAAAATGAGGACGACGTCCAGGTAAAGTCATAGGCTTTGAAAACTTGGTTATATATTTTTTTTATTTATTTTTACTGTGAAATGACAGCTACCTTGTCAAGTTCCGCCAGCATTAAATGAGCGAGCGTCATTCTTTCCTGACAAGACACAACATGACCCGGAGGAGCCAGGCTCATTTTGAACACACTCAACATCAGAAATGCACACAGGAGCACAGATAAGGGAGCTTGTAACGCTTTAGTAAATCTAACTGTACTCGATAGGCTCTGGTTCCTTCTATCAAACTGAGTGAAGAGGACCCACAAACTACAATGGAGGTTGGTGCCCTTAACTAGGTTTTAGCTGCTCATTCCTGCTGGCTGCTGAACACCAACTTCTTACCTTCTTCAGCCTTTCTTCCGGCTTTAGTGCGCTAAATACCAGCTTGGATGCAAGTTTTCATTTTTCTGCTATCCATATAAAGTGTATCTTTGTGTATGCCAGGCGCCTGAAGACGGTGAAGAAGATGAAAGAGAGGCTTTGAAACGCCATTTAAGAGCTGAGAGACAGAAGAGAAAGAAAAGGGTAAATCTTTTGGTATCCACCTCATTTCTGTGATTCCACTAATGGCACGGTTAAAAATTCTAACAGTTTTGATTGCTTCTGGCTTTTATTAGCTGCTTGAACAGTCTTCCATCCAGAAGTCCCGTGATGCTGATGATGTCAAGGATGTCACTTCCATCCAGCAGTACAGTGCAGATGAGGGACCGTCTGAGAAAGCGGACGATTCAGTGGTTTTATCGAAATCTCGCACTGGTTCTCAGAAAGGTCTGTGTTTATGTCTTAATCAAATGTACCTCTACTCCTTCATCATACAAGTAATGAGTGATCTGGTAACAACACAAAACAGTACTCAACTGTTTGTTTTTTTCCCCAGGCTATAAGACCATAATAATGATCATCTTTATATGTAGTAGGCGTTTCATACAAATATAGAAAACTTGTATATTTTTATTTAATACAAAAATAAAACATACAAGTCATAAAATCATAAAATTAAAGTGTCGTGTAGAGAACAGAAGAATTTAGGGGAAGTTACAAAAATTCTTAAAGGGATTAGAAGGCAAAATCACTGTAAAACATACTTTGAGTCATTGTAAAAAGCCTAAATTGGTGTGATGTGATACCTTGATTTAGGTTTGGTTAAAAACTTTGCAGCTTAGCTTTGCATAGTCTAGAGGCAATTAAAACGTGCTATTAGAGATCAGTTCAGTTCACTTTATTTATATAGTATTGATTCACAGCAACAACCACTTCAAGGTACTTTATTTTGCAAGGTAAAGACACTACAATGTTTGAGAGAGCCCAAACATTTTTAACTGTGAGTGAGAACTCAGTGACGTTGGTAGAGAAGAACACCTTTTTAATAGGAAGAAACCTTTGGACGAAGCCACCATCTGTCACTTGGGAGGTGCAGTGAAAGAGGAGGGGGAAAAAAGGGAGAGTAGAGAGACCTCAAACAACTAACAGTACAAACTCTGAGTGAGAGAAAAATTGATGATATGCAATCGTATCATACAAATGCTTAGTTAATAATAGAAGGAAGTGAGGGCATGTATAAAGAGAATGAAAGCTAGTTGGCCCAGGTCACATACCTGTGGAGGTATGGCGATGTCTTGGAGAAAGAGTGGTTGTCTTTTTAGCCAGATTTTTTTAACACAATTTTAGGGATAAATGAAGAAGAGGTGTACTGTTACCAGTTTTCAAGAACAAGGGTGATGTACAGAACTGTAGTAGGTACAAAGGGTATAGTTGATAAGCCTTACCATGGAACTATGGGAAAGAAATGTTGAAGCTAGGTTAAGAAGGAAGGTGGTGATCAGTGAGCATCAGTATAGCTTCATACACAGAAAAAGCACTACAGATTCTATGTTTGCTTTGATAATGTAGATGGATATGTATAGAGAAGCTCAAAAGTTGTTGCTTGTGGATCTAGAGAAAGCATATGATAGGATGGTAGTGAATCTTTCTACGGTATATGGGTTGGAGACTGTGCCACATGGCCTAGGATTCTTAAAAAGCAAAACTCTTTTACCTGGGTAAAGAACTGAAAATTATGTATGATTTAAATCTGGAAACTCTTAATCAGACACCAGGTATCCAAATCTAAGCAGCATTTAATATCAAAATTTGACAGAAGGTAGTTGATGTTGTTTAAGTGAGCCTTAAACAAGTGCTTTGTGCTCTAGGTCTCACCTCAAGAACTCAGCACACTCACCATTTAGATGACTTTGTGAAACGACGCTTGGAAGAGAAACTAAAAGCAGCCAGGGTAAATGGAGTTTCTTTTTCTCACACACAGCACACGATCTGAGTGAAATTGTTGCTCTATAATCTGTGGCTTGTATTTCAGTCTAAAGGTGAGAGCCTTCAGGATAAGGAGGCCTCTCTCGAGTTTCCCAGTCGTCTCCATAGCCTCAGAGACAGAGACACCGTAACAAGGTTTGACAGAGAGGTGAGCCTCTATTTCACCTTAACTGGGCTCATGTATTGCTTTCCATTGGTGGAAGTTAATTCCTGGTG